ATAGGATGTAAAACACAAACACACATATAGGAAGTGATGTACGTCTTCTGAGGCCAGTAGTTATACGCACTGTATCTAGTTGAACCAATTCTAGAAGGTCTGATTCAGATTTGGTACAATTATCCCACACTATATCAGAATATTCTAACACAGGTTTTATATAAGAGATATTCTAACACATGTTTTATATTAGAGATGTTCTAACACGTGTTTTATATAAGAGATATTCTTACATATGTGTTATATAAGAGATATTCTAACACAGGTTTTATATAAGAGATATTCTAACACGTGTTTTATATAAGAGATATTCTAACACAGGTTTTATATAAGAGATATATAATGTTTTTAATGTTTTCCTATCATGATTACTTTTTAAAAACCAAGAATACTAAGTCTAGAATGAGCTTTTTTGATAAATATTTGAGGTGCGATATCCCCACGTTCCTTTACTGTTAAATGTTAGACCTAAGTGGTCATGGTGTTCATGTTGTACAATTGGAGTATTATTAAATACAAGTTGAGGATGATTGTTATTATACCTACGAGTGAAGTTAATAGCTACGGTCTTGGATTGAACAGGACTTGTCATTGCTCTGACCAATCGGAGATTGATTCAATATCATCATTAAGCATATTATAAGTAGCTTAGGCAAGGTCACTATTATTATTTACTAGTCTATAACACAGAGAGGGGTAATATCGGGGAAGAGTTTTATATGACAGGTTACATTATTAGTAATAGTATAGTATTAGTAAAAGGAAGAAAGAGGAAGGGACCCAGGACAGATCCTTGAGGAACCCAGTAATGTCATTATTAAAATAAGAAAGAGGAAGGGACCCAGGACAGATCCTTGAGGAACCCAGTAATATCATTGGTAAAAGGAAGAAAGAGGAAGGGACCAAGGACAGATCCTTGAGGAACCCAGTAATATCATCAGTAAAAGGAAGAAAGCGGAAGGGACCAAGGACAGATCCGTGAGGAACCCAGTAATATTATCAGTAAAAGGAAGAAAGAGGAAGGAACATAGGTTTGGTTTTAGAGTTACCACCTTCAAAGATATATCCCTTTGTTTTCTGTCAGATAACTAATGAAAGGATTTTGGACACGATTTTTCATAATTGTATGTTTTACGGTCATTTGATGCAATGATACGTGTAGTGACCGAGAACCCGTCTCTCTCGGTACTCAGTAGATAGACAGGCCAGGTGACGCCCCATCTATATCAGCCTAGTGAATAAGGATATTTTGAACTCGGTACGGGGTCGCATGATCTGCGACTGATATGATATCCTGTTCATTACGTGTACCCATTCGGACACGTCCCCTTTACAATTTATATATTATCTGCAAAACAGTGTAAGTAATGACAACAACCAATAAATAATCATGTCGTATGGCTAAAATCATCAATCGACAAATAAAGACATCAATTCTCCGAAAGAGAAGTTATACATTCAAACCTGAATCCCGGAAAGCTAATTCCGCGCCTGCATCAACTACATTCAATGTACACTGTACATTTTAGCTGACAGATAGTAAACATTTAAGTATCTTACCTGCAAATTAAAGGGTATGTAAATTTATAGCCAAAGGGCATTTACGATACCTACCTGTGAATTAACAGGTGAACCAATTACCTCCGAGGTGTTCCCTGTGAATGTCATGGCCAAAGGGCATTTATAACCGATCCTCCAAATAACACGAGCAGTATGGTGTACTGGTGCGTTTCTTTTTGTCCCATGTGTTGGACGAAAACATGATGTTGAAAGTTTTAAAGTAAATTTTAACAGCGTCTTTACATGCGTTTTTACCTTAGGCTCGTAACCTGGACAGAAAACTGACGATGTTAAATAAGGTAAAAATGTATGTGTATCATGTATATACGATGTAATTTCTGAATTATAAAGTTTTATTATTTTTGAAGTAATGGTGGTGACATGACATTGATTGAAAAGATTAAAATACCAACATGAACATTTTTAGCAGCTTTTTAAACAAAAATATATCCCTAGCAACAGGTGTGATTTAACCCCCACATTCAAGAAGACATAAGTATGATCCATCTAAGTACAGGCCAATTTCCCTCGCCTCTGTCTGCTGTAAAATTATGCAGCACATCCTGACCTCTACAATATCTTTTATGATAAACATCTATTACACATACTCTTCGCGGATGACACCATAGCCTATCTCACCATTACATCAGAGGACAGCGGTAAGACCCTACAGAAGGACCTCGACAAGCTGACCAAATGGGAACGTTTATGTTGCATGAAATTCTATCCTGACAAGTGTAACATCCTTAGACTCGCCAACAAGAGAACCCCAATCAAGACCAACTATCACTTACAGGGCCATTATCTGCAGGAGGTCAGCACAGCCCCCTACCTAGGTGTCGCCATATCCAACAACCTTAAATTGGACACCCACATTTAGAAGATGGGCGAACAGAACCCTGGACTTTCTATGGAGAAATCTTAAGATTACATCTACTCAAATCAAGATACTTGCATACAACAGCCTGGTAAGACCCTTGCTGGAATATGCATCCTCCGTATGGGACCTACACACCCAGCACAACATCAACAGCATTGTACACATCCAGAGAAAGGCTGTGAGGTATGTCACGAACCGTTATCGGAACACGTCCAGCGTCTCTGATATTCTTCAAATGCTCGGCTGGAAACCACTACAAGAAAGGAGGAAGAAAGCTAGACCAGTGATGTTATACAAGATTGACAGAGGTACGGTTGCCATCAGTAAAGAAAACTGACTGCTACCACATAGAGGACTTGCCAGAAACATCAATAATAGATCCTTCCCACTCCTTACCTGCATGACTGATTCAAGAAGGATGTCTTTCTTCCTCAGATCTGTACGTGACTGGAATGCCCTACCACGGGACATCACAGACGCAGCCACACTCTCGGCATTTAAGGCCAGAGTGACGAAGCTCTGAAACCCTTAATGCAGCTTATCCTGTTTTTAATTTACAAACTTATTTTAACTATGCTAGTCCTGTCACATGAGGGGGCGGCTCCAATACTCTCGATGAGTTTACTTGTGGCACACTATTTTGCAGAATAAACCTTCCAATTGTAGCATAAATCCAAACTAATCCAGTTCAGGTTGATGAAAATTGTGTTTTAAAACTAACTCAAATCCAATGTTGTGAAGCCTAGTTGAATTGAATATCACCAACCAGAGAGAGCTCGGCAGAATTATTTGCTATTTCCAGTTTTAATCATATAATTTACCTTTATTACCAGAAGTTTTCAGTTTATATAGTTTATATACGTTATTATAAGCCTAAATGCCATACAGAAAACAAATTCTTTACGTATGTCACAGAAAACAAAGCGTAAATCAGTACATTGACCTACATGTATTACCTATATAGTACATGGTGTATTATCAGTTAGTTAGTTAGTAGTGGAGTCGACCAAATGTAGTATGCATAGACACCTAATATGTGCACAAGGTTTTGATATGATATGAAAATTTATCTCGGAAAACGCATCCAATTCAAGTACAGAAAAGTCATTACGAAACTCAGAATGTCCAGTCACCAGTTACAAATTGAGCAAGAAAGATACATAAATGTACCAAGGAACTTAAGAATCTGTAAATTATGCAATATATTGAGGACGAATACAACTTTGTGCTTAAATGTCCATCTTTTCAGATACTTAGACGTATTCACATGAAAAAATATAATTGGTCGAAACCCAGCATGCTCAAATTCATCAGTCTTATGAACTCTAGCAAATCATCTGAATTATGCAAATTTGGAAAGTTTCTGCACAAATCGTTTATGTTGAGAAAGAATCTGAAAATAAATTTAAATGTATGAACTAACAACAATGCGTTCTCCTTCAATGCATTATTTTTATTAATTTTTCTTTAGCTAGTATATCACTGATGATGTACATTCATTCAAAATACATGCCACTTATTTGTTTACACATACAAACTGCCGCCCAGGTATTAGCATGTATTGAATATGTATGGTTTGTAGTAATATCATGTACCTATAAGTTGTAAACGTTTGGAAAATAAAATGAACATGAGTCTCTTGGTTGAATCCTGACTGATGTGCTCTTAAGGTGTATATCAGGTATTTCTCCAATAAATAATGTTCTATAAATAGTAGTTTGAGTGGGTATACTAAAGAAGATTAGTATGTATCCATGCAGTGTTATGTTTCCGTGTGCATGACATAAAATGTATTCATGTGTATAGGTTACCCGTATTTAATATATACGCACGTGTCTATTATGTACCCGTTTGTATTGTATACCCGTGCACGTGTTTAGAACATGTTTATGTTCACGTGTGTATTAGTATTTTCGAGGGAGACTCCCGATTTGGGGTTCTAAAATTGAGAATTTTTAACCGGTGAATTTCCTAAACTATTCCTACTTTTAAAGATCTGATGATTTCATCTGAAAAGAAAACAACTAAAAAGATTTCATTTAAAAGTGATATTTTGTGGGTTTATAGGCACAATTTATGTTTCAGCTTAGAGCATGCGCAATCCTTAGAGCATGTGCAATCTGCCCAATGCAAAAAGTTGGCAAATACCAGGTTTAGTTAAGTATGTGCACCTGTGTATTATGTAACCTTGTGTATTACGTTTCCGTTCGGCATCAGTGTACCAAGAAAACCGCAAATGTATTTGAATATGTTGTTAAATCAAATTAATTAAGTGTTTGTATTTAATATATACTCATACAATGTGATAAAACATCTCTCTACGTTTGATATCGTCAAGTTATACTTATGACTTTACATATAGATGTGCGGTCCCTGAAGTAACATACACAATCATTCTATATGGAAAAAGGAAGGTGTGTTCCCAGGAATGCGGAAATGCGAAATGTAAGGAACAATATAATAAGTGTTTGAAAGCGCATGCATGATTTTAACGCGCACCGTTTGGAATCGACTGTCACACAGATAATCATTACTTAAACACTGCAGATCATTGCTTGATTAATTAATCTTTATACGAAGTGGAAACCCTTTATTCGCTTTTCTAGCACACCTGTCATTTATGAAATGCCACCTGGCGGCTTAACAATGTCGTCGATAATGGTCACGTGACTTTGTTTTCTCCGCCATTTTGATTGAGTGTAACTTCCTGAGAAAAGACATTTGACCAATGCTGGTTCCAAAACAACGTCATATAACTAACTTCAATGGAGTAGACACCAAGTTCAAGGCTTGTTGACAATTAACAGCAAGTCAAATCGTGCCAGGTAAGTCAATGGCCACACTAGTCTACCTGTAAAGTAGAATAACCAACAAATTTACCTGCTGGTTTTTATCAGATTTCGCGTAAATTTACACACCTTGCATGTAAAAATTGTCATTTGGAGCTGAAATCTTATTTTGAAGTGAAGGTGATGTGAAGACGTGAGTAAAACAACGATCTGACGTATCCATTCACGTGCAAAATGTTTACAAATGTACAATTTCACGTGTTTTCCACCGGTGAACAATACAGATTGAATGGCTGACATCTATGATTCATAACATGGAGTCGGCTCGGAACATTTGAAGTCGGGGTCGTGACCCCGTGCACTTGCTGTCACTGTCAATGAGACGAAATGTCGGGTTAACAAATATGCTGAGTGTAAAACAAGTGTTAAGAATCAAACGTAAACTCATGTAAGTTACACACACCGACTCGTAATTTGAGAGATAAAGGGAAATAACTCCTTGTGTATTGTAGATTCGTGCACAGGGGCACGTTACAAATGTCTGAAATACACACATATGCTATACTGATATGGGTCACAACACACATAAACATACACAAGGGAAGAAGCTTCGTCAGAGCACTACCGGTACCGCCAAATTTCAAATGAAGATTTTCAACACTTACTTTTGTTATTTTTTTCAGCGATCTGCGGCGATAGCTTCGGTTTGAATTGTAATTAAATAATCCATCATGATCAATTGTGTAATCATTCGTCTAATACATCCAATCAAGCACTTTTTCGGGGAATTTGCAGTTTTACCGCCATGATTAACTTGAACCTGACCCGGAAATGACGAGGGCTTTTCGACATGTCTTTATACCATACTGCCAAATACTA